ACCAACAGCTGGCTGTAGGTGGTTCTACTTCTTGTGTTTATTTCTTCACTGAATTCTAATTCTGATGCTCTTTTATTCCTAATCTACCTGGTCTTTGAGTATAAGCTTTGGTGTGTGCGTGTTACCCAACATTCTAGATCACTAGTCCGGGTAAAGGAATTTGTAGTTTTTGATCTGTCGCTTCTCATTCCCGACGCACAGTTCTCTCGGTTCGTTCATACATCTTTGGTGGTGGTGGAGGTCCTGGTGTTTCCCTGCTTGGGGCTTTGGAAGTAATGATTATATATTTAAGAGTATACCTTGCAAGTTGTAACTTGGTTTGTTCGGAGAAGCAGGCAATCTGGTGATAACATAAACCAACCTTTATCAATTCCTGTTCTTGTACACACCTGCAAGTAGTTGTTGGGTGCCGTTTAGAAAGCAGCGGTAAAAATATTGAGAGTTGGGAATTGGAAAAAGAGGGGTGAAGTGTACCTGTGGGAATATATGTTACTCGAAAAAATACGGAGAAGGGATCCGCCTTATTACAGATACCATGGTTGGTGAATGCAGAGGTGGATGGGCATGACTGCAGTTGCTACCAAGGAATGTTTGTGGCAAGCCGTTCTCGTTCACGTGCTAGCGCGGCAGTTGTCTGAAGGAGTCAACTGATGTGAATGCTGCTGTTTCCCTCTGCAGGGTGTTCCTCAGGGCACGCGCTCTATGTGAGAGGTTAGATCCCACCCTTGTCTTTGACCTATGGTGGGTTATGCGAGTGGGGTTCCCGCGAAACTGTCAGTTTTGGGATGTTAATGTTGACATGTTGGGGTACTACGCTAGATGACTGACACTGTAGGCTGTTATTAAGTCTCCTCTTTTTCTTCAGCAGTTGAGTCGTCTAAGGCGTTGTGCTTATCTTTTGCCCGTTAGTCCGACAACCGACTTTGTGGCCCTTATCCACACCCTCTCGGTGGTACTCATGTCTCCCTGGTAGGGTGGGAGCTGTCGTGTTGAATATCTCTAGACGTGGTCTAACACGGTTGAGATATCATGAGGAACAGTGTTGGGGTCGGCGCCTTGGACCTTCCGCTCAGAAAGTGCATGGTGGTGTTAGCCTTACCTGACGTTCCCTTATAGTTGGCAACAGAGTCACTTTGGCGATGGTAGTTTATACCATGCGCGTGGCATGCTGAAGACGTCAGGGAATATACCCCGTGTATCAACAACGCTATGTTTCACCTTCCGCTGACCCGGCAGAGGCAGCACAAATTCTTTGGCAGGGAGTTTTGGCCGCCAGTCATTAGTATCAGGGAGACCGATGAATTTCTTGGTCTTTAGGCGTGACTACGACTTAATTTTCTGATTTCCTGATCCATTTTAGGCAGATGTTCGTAGCCACATGCCAGCCTAGTCACATTTGAATGGTTAGGAACCCTTTGTTTAAGATTCTTCAGCACCGCAGTTCCGCCGTCAAACATGACAAGTTATTTCGCGACCGACACTGAGCTGCGGCGGAAACGGTAGTGTCTAAGGTTTTCAGCGTTCTGATATTTTGGTCACCTGGTCCTAAGAAACCTTCCACTACCCTTAACGTCTCTACCCTTTCAGCAGGAGCTGTGATATCTTCGGGAGTCACCGGTTAACCACACGACTCATCCCCTCGAACTTGTCAAATTTGGGTTCCATCTTCCATGGCCACCATCACAGTACCTTCTCTCGGTGAGTGACGAGGACCAGCTTGGCGGAAGAGAGTATTTGTCTGGCCAAGATTATGTGTGGGTCACGGCTATGTGTTAAAGTAACAACCAATAATGTGGTTGTTGAGGAAGATTAGAGGGGTGAACTGGAATGCCTTTTTCTGAACCACATACCGTTAATGAGGGTTTTTTACCCGCCAATAAGGTGAACTCTCTTTTATCTGCCATTTTATAGAACTTGGTCATGTGTAATGCTTACTTTTGAGTCTGGCTGCGGTTGGGTTCTGTGGACGTCAGTGAGTGGCGGGCTTGAGTTATTGCTCTCTCGGGACCATTCGGCAGTACGCGTGCTACTGCTCCATCAGTGCGTGAGTTGAAGCATCAGGTGTAACCACAATGGGCAGAGATGGGTAATGGTGAGTGAGGTACACCCGTGAGGTCAGCAGACTCTAATTCTGTCGAACTCTCACTGGCAACCAATCGACCGGCTTCGTTTTGCATTCTTCGTTAATATTACATTCAAAGGCTTGCAAATAAGGTGAAGATAGAATAGGAGTATGCCGTAATGACATACTAGACCCAGGAATGAAGGTAAGGTTGTATTATCACTCGACTGTGGCATATTTCTAATCGCTTCAGTATTTGAAGGAACTAAATGTCTTATATTCCCGTCCACAGAAAGGCCAAGAAGGCTGACTTGCTCCGCAAAAAAGTTACATTTACTTGCTCGAAACGGAAAGACGTATTCTGTGATGCACTTCAACACTAGGTCGACATGTGTACCAGATCGTAACTGATTTACTGCATTACGACTATATTTTGGTGCCTCCTCTCGAAATCAAACTAAAACCTAAGTCTAATGTAAGCAAGCAAAGAGTTAAAATATTTAGATTACAAGTGAATAATCTCCTATGGTATGGACGGGTGACCTAAGTTCTCCTAGCTTGTTTTTGCTCGTGGGTTTCTGTCCCTTGACGTTCGCCATTTTTGCATCTTTTCCGCGCTGACTGACAGCAGCTAGATCAGATATCACAGCCTAGCCGATGATAAACGGATAAGTAAACATTTCCCCCAAAATAATGTCTTTATCCCCGTCCACGCCTCCTCGCACTACTCAAACTACCAGTCAAGATTGCATCCACGGTTGCCACGTCTTGGTTTTACCATCCTCGAACATCTCCCAAACTAACACAGCTTCCCCTACCACAGCAAGTCAAGGTTGGCGGTGACTCAGCACGCCCAATACACACCAAAGCTGCCCCAAACGATGAAGGTTCACAACTTCAGTTCACTTGCCTATCACACTAATACCCTTAGCCTAATTTCAAAGTTGCTTACATGGCGGTTACACCGAACGCGAGCAATACTATGGAGACACGTAATCAAAACCTTGAAATCACTTTGTCTTCTACTTTTAACAGGTGTGTCTCATAGCTGTATAACTGGACAGAACGAACTACAGGGCAGTATATTCGTCTTTTAATAGATAGTCAGATATCGCACTAGTCTGTGTCAGAGATGTGGAGAGTTAGAAAATGTCAAACGGTATCGGAGCTGAGATTTTGCCACGAGCCAGCACGTTCGGCGGCTGAAGCGACTCAGCGAACAAGTGAAGTGGCCGACAAATTCTACCCGTTCACTCTCAATCATTAAACTGGTAGTGGTTGCAGATTAGTCCTGGAGCATCATCTTGTGTTTACTAGGTGACGAACTCAAACCAAACATACTCGGAATTTTGTTCTGAGCCTTGAAGTGACATTGCATATTGTTAGTCCCAACACCTGGAGCGGAAGTAGTCCCTGTGCACGCCAATCAAAAAGGTGCTATTCAGGACGTAGTCGAAGTCATGTCGGACCAAGGGTACCTGAGGTTATGAGCGTTGACATATGTTAAACGAAATCAAACAGAAACGGTGACAATAAGCAGCCTTGATGAACTTCTGGCTGTCATCATTTCAAATGATGGCCCTCCACGACCCCAACGCGACTGCATAAGTTCAAGTAGAAGGCTTTGATTAGCGTTGCACACTTGGTCAGTAATCTCCTCATGGTCGGACGCTGCTACGACGCCTTACGATCGCGTCCGCCAAATGCCACCTTCAGGCCGAGAAATGATGCAAGTGTCGACCAGCGGTTGGTATGCTTAAGTTCCAGAACCTGTCGTAGGTTAAAAATATGATTGATACACCCTCCCACGCGTCTGAAACCCCTCCAGTTTTCTTGGGTTTGCTGTTCTCGTGCTCCAGTTAGGTATCGAATGACCGTGGACTCTGGGATCGTAGACACAGAATTAGTCAAACCAATTTCCGTGATCGTCGCAGAGAGGTATTTACCTCTTTCAAAGGCTGAAATGATGGGAGAAGTACACCAGTCTGGTGGCACTACCTCTCATGGCTTTACACTCTTTCGTACAGTCACATCTTTAGACCATTTCAGTCGAGGGAGGTAAGACACATGGCTTTGTTTCTTTGATACTAACTCGAAGTGCCTACATCCACCCCATGGGGGACCCTTCGATTTCGTTACTGGGACTGGAAAATATTTCGTCGTCGATATATCAGAACGGCGAGACGTCGCAATCTTTGATACCGTAAATGCAGCCGATGCTGATAACTATCCAACCCTCTCTGAAGTAGCCCAGTCAACCCCAGCATTGCTAAAGAAAACGGAGGAAAGTACCTAGATTTAGAAAAAAATCTTGACTCAGTCAGCAAAGGAATCGCTGGCAGTAGTGACAAAACTCCGTCTACAAGTGTCGGTCGACGTGCCACCTCAACTAAGCATCTAACGCTTTTCACCGCCTAGGCGTCTAGGACTCCAAGTTCTGGATAAGCCTGATTAATAATAATAAGCTCGGTCTCCTACGTTTCGCCCACTACTTTGTGCATCGCAAATAATCTTTTGAAAATGTCTCGAAAAATCATTAAGTTCGTGAGAATGTACACGAAATAAAGCATTTTGGTGTCTGGGGCTGAAATATTTATGCCCCGCCTAGCATTTATGCGTGTGTTACAAACTTAATCTTCTTCCATACTAACTGCGATTTTCATCATCCCTGCAATGGCTGACTTGATTGACGTGTACTCGAAACCAAGGTGAGTTTTATCGCAAGGTTCTGAAACAAATAAAAACCAAACATCAAGTAAACAGGAGCATGTCATACTTCCATAATAACAATAACATAAGTTCTGTCGTAAGAAATGGGGCAGCACAAACGGACAAAAATTGCTCGTATGCAAGAGGTCCAAACTAAGTTGTGAAAACGATATAGTAAGCAGTTTTTTCTACCTTGGGGCTTGTAAAACATCTATTCAGTCTTCAGAAAATGCTGGCACATGCACAGTTTCATGTTTTCGATCTGAAGCTTAGTTCCTATGATTTGAATAGCCTTCATAAACAACTGCTGATAGGTCTGGGAGCTCAGATTTCTATTGTAAGACTGTTCTATTAGACGAATGATATCTGCCCTCCGCATCTACACTGGTGCAGAAAGTTTGCGGAACACCCCGATGAACCACGGGGGCTAAGCAAGGACTATTATGCTCGTCCCATTTGTATCATTCAGACGGGTTTCTGCTGAAATACCAGGCCAGGTGTTATTGGTTATCAGTAGGCCTGTAAAATCAAATTAACCAGACCTTTCAACGAGTGTCGCTGCAATTTTAGGCTGCTGAACGCATCAACGTTTTGAATGCACTGGGATGGACAAACTGGGAAGGTCATTACGCACGGCGAGATATGAATACCCATAGGAAGTCCAAGTTTGATAAAACCAAGCAGGCCACCAGTCAGCGTGTCCTGCTTTCAACGACGAAGTGATCGAATCTGTTCCCAACGTAATAGGCAGCCCCACTCACCGACCAAGTAAGTTAAAAGACACGAAAGTGCCGAATACAAAGGGCTGGCAGTGAACATTCATAGAGCCTATTGAAACAGACGGGAGACATGTGCACATTGGTATCGACTGGAGGTTGCATCACACTGGTCTTACAAACATGGTTCTTTCCAACCCGTAGGTTCGTTCCGCCAGCTGAGCGGTTCCGGTGGACCAAAGCGAGTTTCCCAGCCACTAAGGCACAAGGGGCTGACTAGCAGAGGTTTTATGAGGTGGCCGAACTCCCAACCGACCAGCATTTGCAAGTCTTCCCGTTATCGACCCAATGCACTGGGGTCGTCGGCTTGAGGCTTGGGCCGGCACAGCATGAACCGCTGCTTCTCAAGACAGATACCTCTCTGGGGCCAGACAAGAGATGGCTCCATTGTGGGCAGTAAGCGTAGAAAACCCGTGACTGAGACACAGCATGGTCACTTTCTCAGTTCCATACCGATGAAGTTCAAACGCAACATAATTCGATGCCAGAATACACGGTAAGGTCGGTTCGTTCCAAGGATTGTGTGGAACAAGGATTACCGTGTGTCCGTGATATTCTGAGTCGAAGCGCATATGCTGAAAACGTCATCGATACAAGCATTACTTACAGTAATCCCAAACGTGAATTTACTTGACAGTGTGCAAGGCCTTGGTTTTTGTCACCACAGTTCAAAGAGGACGCTCGAGGTGATACCCCACCACTGATGCCTAGCTAGAGCAGTAAGTGGAGTGTTTTACTTGGGTCCTCTTTGGACGCCTTTCGGTAGTTGGCCAATGCCCAGTGTGAAGTCGAAGGGTGGCCTACTCAACCACAGCTCTTCATCTCACATGTATCATCTTAACTGTTCCTGTGGAATAGGTTACACAGGGTGTGCAGTTCGGCAGGTGCAACTCCGGATACGCGAACATCCACCAGCTTGGTTCAGAAAGGATGAAGTGAGGGCGGTGACACGTTACGTTCCTCAGCACCTAATGGACGCAGGACACCATACAGACGCCCTCAGTGTTGTGTATCGGGCCAAAAAACAAACCATGTGTAGCTTGCTGGCGCGCACTCAATATAGCTCAGGCCGTCACGACAGAAGTGATCAAAACTGAACTTCGAATTCTGAGAGATCACGTCCAAAACTTATTTCTCCATTGGCGTTCAGTAAACTAAACCGAACTAAACTCCTATCTTCATTGTTAGTTCTTTTTTTCGCGCACCATCACGTTACCCTTTTCGTGAAAATTAGAAAAAGAAAACCTGATTTCTTTACGGTCCCTAAATCTTACTCAATCTTGAAAATGTAACCGACCCATGAACCGGCTTCCCCTCAGGCTAATCAGAAGCATTGTAATTGTAGAACCTAAAGAAAGTTTACCGAAAGGAATTTTCTATCGTGTTCTTGGTTTCACCTAAATAACTTGAGAATATTCGCCGTGGAGACTACTTACACTGGCTTTCTTGAATTTTCCAAAGTCTTTCCCAGGGCAAATCACGATATCCTTTACGGAAAACTTCAGTTGACGGGTGTCCACGGAAAATAATTAATTCGACATACGGATTATCTGAACACGAGGTTGCAGTCAGCTAGAAAAGGCTCCCCTCCATATAAATGGTTCTCAATGATGAGCGTGTGCTTCAAGTTAATGTAGGGGGGTGTGGTATTATTTAGTAACGTCTGACCAAACCTACTTAACTTGATCTGCTCCAGTACCCGTTTGGCCACGACCTTACCTAACATGTAAGTACTGACAACGAAACGCAAATCAAAAGAACTGGTTCGGGAATACATTTGAAGAAGTAATATATTTAATTAGAGTAAATGTAATAGTAATGAATGGGGGAGAAGTTTATTCAACCTATCTGGCTGGTATGGCTGAACTACGGACTCTGAGTACATGCGTGCTAAACAGTACAAAGGGAGCGCAAAATGGTGCCGAGGCCTGCCCGGATGCATACTCGTTAAAACAAGACTTAAAACACCTAAAGCATCCGGAGGCGAGCTAGAGGTTTATTTAGTTAGTTTAATTTAATCTATTTATTTCAGCCGCGTTGTATTTTGGTTCCAGGAAGGTGCAATACAGTTCTATGCTTGGCTCACTTCTGTTTCTGTCTTTCATCAATGACCTACCAGGTGTCCTTAATTCACATTCACTATTATGAATCGATGATCTGAAGATTTGGATGGAAATACAGGGGCCAACGTATTTTTCGGTCATCCAGGAGGAGCTTACGAAAATTCCTAATTGGACTACAGAAAACCTGCTTCCTCTCAACTCGAAGTTTCGAATAATGATAGTCGACAAACATAACGGCATTCCCAGCTCTTGCTCGCTGGCTGAAATAAACATCTGTCACTCTAACACGGAACAAGATCTGGGACTTACACCAAACGATACACTAGGAGCATCAGCTGACTGTCGACTTGCAGCCAACAGGGCTTATGGAATCCAGGGTTTCTCTAGCGAGCTTTAGGGCGTCTAACTCCTTTTTTTCACCATAGTGTATGCTCTGTACATTCGCCCTCATCTGGAAAAAATTAGCCTGTGATGTCCCCATGTTTGAAGAAGGACATAGTCATTCTAGAACGGGTACAGAGAAGAGCTAGAAAGAAGTGATTGGGTTACGGCGCAAACCGTACCCAGATCGTTTAACGGCTGTTCAGCCACACCCAGTACAATACCGGAGGATCAGAGGGGATATGATCATGATGCACCACATCACCCATAATCCCCTCCATCTTAACAGACCCTTTCTAAGCTTTAATCGGAAACGCGGCCTGAGGGGTCACCCGTTAAGAACAGAACATGAGAGAGCACGTACAAAGATCCGTGCTAACTCATTCACAGTTAGAGTCTGTAAACTATGGAACTCCCTCCCTTCAGCAGTTGTTACAGCCCTATCCCCTGATACTTTTAAAAGGAGGTTAGACGCACATATCGAGTCCTACGGCACTGATGGACTGTACTCGAGAAGCTTTCCCCAGATCAGATGCAGTAATAATATCTTGAGACCAGATTAATCAATAATCGTGTCTCTATCCTTTCAGGTTTTTCAGAACCGGGAATATAACTGTGAACATTCCACACTCAAAAGATATTCCAATAAGACAGACGTAGAACCCAACGCACCATCGTTCACTAATTCTACAACACGAAGTTTGAAGTGTAAGTGCTGAATCCCTGGTAGTTGGGCCACAGGACACCAATCTTTAAAGAAGGTAAACCAAACAACAACGCTCTGATCCATTCTTTCAAAAGTAATGGAGTCTTAGACTCATGATAGAATGAGGAGTCGCCTTATGACAATTAATTTCCTCACAACGCAACAACAAAGCTTTAGAAGACGGTTCTACTGAATTACCAATCTGTTCACCACAGTTAATAGATGGACTAGTATTGTCGACTGTTGAGATCGAACTGATGTTATCAATCTAGATTTTTCTATGGCGTTTGATCGTGCTGCTCAAGACTGCCTTATACACAGACCCAAACTGATCAGAAATAAACGACCACTCATTGACTGGTTGCCAATGCATCTGTGTGGTCTTCATCTTGAAGCTCGAATAGATTTTTCCATGTCTGAAGAAACAAAATGTCCGTATTAAGTTCATTAGGAACCACTTCTAAGGTCTTTTCTCTTACTAATGTACATAAGCAACTTGCTAAATCAAATAATGCTGTTGCTACCTCAATGGTCCAAGCTACTTTACCCGAATCCCTTGAACGCTAACCTGATATTTACTAAAGACGTGGATTTTAGCTCACTGGGAACTAACTTGATTTTTTTATTCTAACCGACACACCCTTCTCCCTCTTTATTTGTACACAGGTTAAAAAACACTGGAAATAGTGATGCATTGATCCTAGACGCGAAAGCCAGTTAAGTGAAAGTTTTTTGAACCATTTAAATGTCCGAAGGTCCAAGTTGCGCGCAGTGTTCGCATCGACCTTCATATTTTCGTTATATGTTTTAGATTCATTTCCTCTTGTGTGCTCCTTATGAGGCCTTAGGTAAGACTTTGTTTGCTATGTTTTCTCATCAAGTCAACGTTTCGGTGGAGAGCAATTACTTGTGTTATCCTATTTTGATAAGTGAATGACTCAATACAGTCTGTGTTCTAGAGAATTAGCTGGGGAATTTCACCAAACTCTTAGTAGACGAAGAAATGATTATAACTTACGTTTCATTTGAGGTTAATATAAGTCCTTGTTTCCCATGATTTTTGTATTTGTAACTTGTTGTGTTATCTTGAAAAGTATAAAAACGAAGCCTTAATAAAAGGACTTTTCTTTCGAATGTGGACATCTTGTCAGTTAGGCTTGTACCCTTCATACAGCTTGAAAACTTCAAGGTAATGGAATAGACATATTGAACATCCGAAGCTCATTATGCTCATTGATCTGTGATTAAATGAGCGGTAGTTTAATGTTGACTTACCAATTCCAGCTATACGCTAGTAATCTTGTGAAGGATTTCAAGCTGTAGATGGGTTGATCAGACCAGGTTTTTACACATCTACAAAGTCACTTGACTGATATGGACCTTATATCGCACTGTAAGCTACGCAGCTCTGGTTCTCTAGCTAGAGCCTGCAGACTTGGCGGTGCAGTCTAAGACTACAAAAGGCAGCAAGTGTGTTTCATCTTCAGGATGATGAAGATGATGAACGTTTCTGTTGAGCCCTACTTGTCCGATAAACGCATGTAAAGGTATATTTCCTTAGCAATGTAGTTCTATCTGTTATTGTTATAGTGTTGCAATTCAAGTCTTTGTTTGCTTTGTTAAACCTCTACATTGGAAGCGCTTTTCTCTTGACACTAAGGCTTCCTTACGAATCTATATTCAGTTGGCAACAACACAACTTTGACATGATGTCATATTTCAATACTGCTCTTACTAATATAGATGAAATACTGGCGATATTCGCTTGTATACTTAATTATCGTATCCAGAAATTACTTGTCAAGTATCTCAAACCTCAGGATTTGTCAACAAGAATATTTCTTCAACTGACCTGTTTAGTGTTTCTGTGTGCTTGATGGCGTGTGGTGTTCTTTGTCAGTTAAAAGATAGCGTCTCTTAATAGAAACCTGAAAACTGCGTACTAGTTCACATCCTAAACCGTAAGCTGTACCATCGATCAGAAACAACCAACCTTATTTATAGCCGCAGCTGGACTATTGAAACGAAGAAACAGTTGGATTTAAAGAATATATTGGTGTCATTTACTTTACGAATACTCAGATGCATACAGTCTAAAACTATCATGGTTATTAGCACATAGGATGATTACCAAACAGGTTACGAAACTTAGACGCAATATAAATGTTTAACGCCATTTTAAGCCTTCGTACCTACAAGGCTGTTAAAAGTGACATATATTGTCCAAAGTACTTTCAAAAGTACACTTTGACGTTGAAAGTTTCTTACATGGAATTACGTAGAAAAAGTGAAAGGTTGTACTCCGGTAGATAATGCTGTATCATTGTCTATTCCGCCAAATAAACGAATCCAAAATTGCTTTGAACCATGGTAATCAAATTCAACTCCTACATTAACAAAAAGTATTTGGTAGATTTTTTGAATAGAGTTCACATAGTCAGTAAGCACCAGCATAGGATTTATCGTCACTAAATAATAGTCATCCAAAGCGAGAGAGAGATTGAAAAAGCTTCAACGTCAGGTAACACCCAACAAAAGAAGAATGGTGGTAACTGGAACCATCACCGGATAGGTTGGGATGCAATTAACCCTTCAGAGCAGCTGGCTAGAACGTTTTTCCGAACACTCCTAAGCACAGTTCAACTAACCCACAGCAACGCTTCATTTACCTATCATCCAGCCTGAACCTAAAATGGGACATATATGTCGGTCCTCTAACTCTTCGAAGTTGGAAAAACTATTTCAAACCTGAAACGAGGCAAAAAAATAGGACCTGAATGTTTGCCAACCCAATCTTTTATGGATGAAGGTAAGAAAGTGCTTATTAGAGTAACGGAGGTGCTAAGTGATTTATAGGAATCAGAGGTAGTGTCGTGATACCGGCATACTTCATTGCTTATTCGAGTCTATAGAAACGCAGTGGAGTCGTTTTGTGACAACCATGGGGAAATCAGTTTAACCAATATCGTGTCCCGAATTTTAAGGTCCATAGTTGTCCGACACCCATCTGGAGCTCAAGAACAACAAGCTCTAGAAAACTGGGTCATGAAAACTTCACCCTTTATCAGGTAATGCAACGCCGACATACTTAGCGATGGCCGACACTTATCATATTCGACCGAAAGGTGGTATTCCATTCTGTTGGCCATGAGGTGTTGTCGCAGTGTCTGACTGCGAAGGGAGTACCAGACAAGTGTGAAACGCTAGTCAAAGCTCTCTACTCTAACTCATGCAGCCGTATTAGGAGCTTATGAGTAGTTGTTATTTGAATTAATGACAACTAGTGGAGCTCGTCAGGGGTACACATTACCATCATTCCTGCCCTATTTCGTCATAGATGTGTTAATGCGCATAACCCTAGGTAACTTTGACCACACAGGAATTGGAAGGCGTCTGGTTGACTCGGTGAACCGAGACGATATTGTCCTACCAGGTGAAGACTAACAAAATGCAGCCTTTCCTAGACGCGTTGAGGAGAACTCTGAGTATATTTGTCATGCGTTTGCCACTTCTTGAACACAAGGTGATGCTACAGGGACTGGCCTACAGTTACTCCAAGTTTAAAGCTAGGTAATGAAGTGCTTGGATGCGTCGACCACTGCACTTACTTCGAGAGTTGCATCATTTAAACGGGCTACTTTGTGATGAGATCTCCCTTCAAATGCAGGGGGCTCGTTCGAAACTTACCAACTTGTGTCATCTCTGGCACCGACTGGTGAGATATCCGACTACCTATTAAAGGTTTAGTATGCTGCTCTGCACCCCATCCTATCGTGTTATGCAGCTGTGAGATATGGCCATTAAAAGTAGAAGATATGAAGAGATTGCAGGTTTTCAAGCGTAGGTGTCTTCATAGCATTGCTCATGTTTGGTGAAATCATCGTGTGAGCAATGTTGAGGTCAGGCGAAAGAAACTAGGCAAGCCATGCAGTTGGAAAGATGAGGCTGTGAACCTTAGTCGAGTGAGATGACTTACACATGTATTACGCATATAAATCAACCGTCTCTCTCGATGTGCCATGCTAGTTGAAGTTGGCTTAAGTTGGAAGACGGTTTAGGGTGGTCAGACCGGATCCTGGCATCAGTTGATGGAGTCCCTGACTGTTGGCCTTAGCTGTGTGAGATATAAGTTGTCTGGCTGGGGTCACCGAGATTGACTGAAAACTGGTCGCAATGGTGCGGATTTATTAACTCTTTGATTTCTTCTAAAGCTTATGTTTCGATTTGGCGAATTTTTAATTTTCCTCTCCCTCTTTGCATCTGTTTCAGTGGTCCATTCAGAATGACTACATAGCGGATAAGAAAATAATAGCTGTAGGCCAGTTCAACTGCTTCTGGAAGTGTTCTGCTAATTGTTGTAGTTGTCTCATGTGCAAGTAAATCTCTGACCGACGTCTCTGTGCTGTTCTTTTATTAACGAATAACCTTATTTCTTTAGCTTCTTTGATCAGTCTTAGTAACTGTCTGCTTTCATCTATGGTCGTTTTTTCCCTCTCTTAAGCGTTTTCTGCCCACTTCTACTCGTGGTCATTACATAGACTTAGTCAACCCACATTTGAGATACTTCGTTCTTCAATGTGTCCACAGCCTGAGAAAATGTGTTCACATGCATATACTAATTCAGAAAAAGCTACTGAGATTTACTTACCCTTTCTAAGTTTTTTTATGAGGGTTATTTACGGTCTTTAACTCTGTTTTCATGGCAGGTTAGAGATGGTACCAAGCTTTGTGACGGGTGTGACTGTCCTTTTATGATAACTGTCTAGTTAGCTTCTCTCTGAATGTGGCCTTAGTATTTTCATCATCAAGCTATAATAATAGTCTTGTCAGTGTAGCTTTTCTGCGTCGATTTAGGTGCAGACATACGCTTGTTCAAATCAACGCAAATGATAACTATCCAGAAACGTGCTTCAAAATGAACTGCAATCTTCCAGTAATCTACTCTAGCGATTACTGATAGATTTCAATAATGCGAAAAAGAAACATTTCTTCGCTCATGTGATTACAAATATTTGAATTTCGCCTAATCGTTCAGCTCCAAAGGTCGTGGATATTTCACAAGGGTACTGTAAAGTTTCATCTACAGACTAATCCAAAAAATGGTAGTGCAGTGTCAAAGTAGATATTCATTTGGTAACTCGTGTCCATTTATCCAGTACATTTGTAGTATGCCCCTAGTCCTGCCTCTTATTTGTATCATTTGATTTGAAATAAAAGTACGTCTCCAGACTATCAATTTTTTGAATGTATGGTCAGCAAGTAAAAGAATAAAAGCTTCATTTTTAAAAATAGCTTAGCATATCTAGAACTGGCTAGCTGAAATGGTAAAGAGTGTCATAGTCAAATTCGCAGTCCATAAAGTAACAAAATTCATATTGTAGGATGTGATAATACAATTGCAGTGAATTAACCGGACATAGCTAGACAAATCTACGTATAATCCTTAGTACAAAGTGCACCAGTTCAAGTTGCTACACCCTACAGCAAACTGCAAACAATAGGCTGGTAGAAAAAGAATGTTATTAAGATCAGACTAAGTGACAGAAAAAATCAATGTAAAACCTTGCACACAAGTTCGTTGGCTCAAGTTGCCACACTTCACAGCAGTATAAAAATAACAGGCAGAATAAAAGTCATTTCAAAGTAGACAAAGTTGTGTGAGATAATAAACAATCTAAAGATAACGGATACGACATATATTCAAGCTTTAGATGTCAAAAAGTGAATAGATCTGCGTCAGTGTGATTGATTTTCAGCCATGTCACCAAGAGTTCTCAACCACTGATTCCTGACATCTTGGTGACTCTAGCCAGGCAACTTATATCTCACACAGCTAAGGCCAACAGTCAGGGACTTCATCAACTGATGCCAGGATCCGGTCTGACCACCCTAAACCGTCTTCCAACTTAAGCCAACTTCAACTAGCATGGCACATCGAGAGAGACGGTTGATTTATATGCGTAATACATGTGTAAGTCATCTCACTCGACTAAGGTTCACAGCCTCATCTTTCCAACTGCATGGCTTGCCTAGTTTCTTTCGCCTGACCTCAACATTGCTCACACGATGATTTCACCAAACATGAGCAATGCTATGAAGACACCTACGCTTGAAAACCTGCAATCTCTTCATATCTTCTACTTTTAATGGCCATATCTCACAGCTGCATAACACGATAGGATGGGGTGCAGAGCAGCATACTAAACCTTTAATAGGTAGTCGGATATCTCACCAGTCGGTGCCAGAGATGACACAAGTTGGTAAGTTTCGAACGAGCCCCCTGCATTTGAAGGGAGATCTCATCAACAACCAGCCCATAGAAGAAACTATGAGACAAAAGTGAATGATGGAATAAAGCTTGGTGGGCATTCTCCATTATTGATTTTCACCCTTATTATCAAATCTTTAAGCGCTGATTCCTATTGTCTTGAAACCACATCCAGGCAGTTTTCATGACTCCGGTTGACTGTTAAAAATCACTTGGTCTGGCACCACATCTTTGTCTAACTACCTTTGGCTTTCTGCCGACCTAATCCGACGTCGGTTAATATCGCACTATAAGGTGAATGATGGCTGAGCATGCACAGCAGATTACTAGTTCTGACTACACTAATGAATTAGTTTCGTTCACGGAAACTACTCAAAACTAGACAATTGCTGACCAACTGAACCTTATCGTTAATACTATTACACCCTGAATCAGCCTAGTAGAAATAAAGTTTTTCATTTCTTGAATCAAAAGCTGATTACATTTCTGAATTCATAGTTATGTCAGGTATCTTGAATACTTGAGCCGTTCCCTCATTTAAGGAGACCGTCAACAGGTTAATTAAAAGGTATACGAACCATTATTAGAACTACTTTCACTAATTTTCTGTTTGACTGACATGTTTAAACGTCCATATAAGACAGTAGTCTGAACTTACGTAACTACCATCCGTATATTAAGACTCTATAACAACATCCTGTCCGATCTTCACCACCAACCATTACAAACCACAGGCAATGAAGTATACTTACGTATGAGTTTGGATATATATCTGAAAAGTTTGCACTCGATACAATCTGTTTCAAAAACGGCTTCACCGATCAACGCTTATCTGTCTCTCTAAAATATTCTCAAAAATGAATTCGTATGAGTACGGAAGGTATCTTTTTACTTGTCATTTTCACTTTAAATTAGTGGTACTGACAGCGTACTTTTTGTTGATTGTGCAGAAAGTGTAGTCAGGCTTTGTTGGTCAGAAATTTCTGTTGTCTCACTGACTTAAGTGTCTGATATTAATTATACGAAAATGTATAGGAACCAGCTCCTGGTTCACGTTAAGGTAAAAAAAAAGAAAATAATATCACAAAAGGGGCAAAGAAGCTCGAAATACACCAAAATATCTAGTGCTCATCGGTGACTAGCTTCAAGAGGTGATTCTCGAAGTTCTAATAAGAAGCTGTGACCGTAGGGGCCAAAAAATTCGAATATGAGGAAAGTCACTGAACGACGACATTGGATGGAGGTCGCCCTATATCTTGAACTGATAGGAGTGGGGAATATGGACCACGAGACGCCGACCCAGTGGCTCAACAGAAGCGTACTGGCCACGGAACTTGAAGGTAATAGTGTTGATTCCTAACGGGCGGTCATGGGGGCGCACTACTGAGGAGTTCCATACCAGGACGAAATAGTCTATGATGAATACCCGCCTGAAATCAAAATATCGAAAAGCTGATAATATTTTTGAAAGCTATACTGTGAAGAAAAGTTTCATTCAGATGTGCCATAATTGTGGTTATAACTGCACTTTACACTTTCCGTCAAATTCAGTGTTCTTAACGGTAGTCTTGAGGTATGTGTAGAGACTTCTTATTATCAGTGACGTATGGAAAGCAGAAAATTATCATGGCCACTTGGTTTACCATAGAAAGTGCACCATTGGAACATACTCGCCATTTCACTTGTTTTCAATTTTAGTGGTTTCTGTTCTTACTTTCTTATACCATTTGGACCAATGAGTTACAGCTCCACACATTCTTCACATAGTTTCTTATTTTTCATCTCATTCCCCCCCTCCCTGTTCCCATACATTATTTCGCTTCAAATATTTCTGATATAGGTAGCAATTTCAAGTTGCTTCTCTGTTACAAGTAAGCTATATGAACAGAATCCTGAATGCACAGACTACTATTTAAATAAAGCAACAATAAAAGATTGAAATGCTAGTTTACTGGCATCTTAGTTTCCTTTTTGCCATTATTATCTTAATAGTTTTGTGAATCACTTTATTTTTCCCTGTTTACCTTTTTCTATTTAGAGCTTCTCCAGGGTGATAAATCCATTGTATAACTTCTCTGGGCATGCTGACTGCCTCTTTAGTACCAAATTCTAACGTCCCCTTAATTGGTGAAAACGGACATCTGCGTTCAAGATCAACATCTCAGCATTTTCAAGGCGATCGTACTGGAATTAGCTGTCGGGGACCAGGAATATCAGCTTCAAGTGTGGATACAATATCTGACTCATTGAGTTTGGCAACAACCGCAACGGAAGGAACAATTGGAGAGGTGTGGGAAAGAAAACAGTATTCCGCCATGCCCTTAGGATGTGCTGTGATTAGAAACCGGCCACCTTCATTTTTAAATCTCTCAAGTCGTGGTCAAGAACAGTCTTCAGAAAAAGATCTCTACGAGTTCCTGAGAGATGCGGAATTGGAACATTATTATTCTGTACTTACACGCCATTTAAAAGTTAGTAAGCACTGCTAGAGAATACATGTTTTCTAGTTACTTACTTGTATCTAGTCTTTTAATTTAAAAACTGTATAACGATGTTCTTCAACTTATTTATTCGTAGGTTTCAAGACTACTTAGTCCCCTCTTCAAAGAATGTATTGCTTCTAATCCCTATGACTGAATTACAAGAAAAGGAGTCATTTATGTTTCTTCACCTCTGTCTTCATCTGATGAACAGTGCTGTAATCATCAGGATGATGTTCAGCATAACCAAACGAGAAAAAACAAGTAGTGATACTGTGGAGTGTGTCTCATAGCTGTATAACTGGACAGAACGAACTACAGGGCAGTATATTCGTCTTTTAATAGATAGTCAGATATCGCACTAGTCTGTGTCAGAGATGTGGAGAGTTAGAAAATGTCAAACGGTATCGGAGCTGAGATTTTGCCACGAGCCAGCACGTTCGGCGGGCTGAAGCGACTCAGCAAACAAGTGAAGTGGCCGACAAATTCTACCTGTTCACTCTCAATCATTAAACTGGTAGTGGTTGCAGATTAGTCCTGGAGCATCATCTTGTGTTTACTAGGTGACGAACGCAAATCAAACATACTCAGATTTCTGTTCAACGCCCACAGAAGATTTCTCATTTCGCCAGCCTCCTCACCTTCAGAGATAATATTGTCTGCATAATTAAAAGCAACCAGATACCCTCCAGAGATTAGATAAATCGCTGTCAAGTCAGATGTACATATGTTTATATCCATTAATGCATCTAAAGCGAGGTTAAGTAGGAACGGTGACTTGGCATCCCTGACGGACACCACTAGTTGGCATCAATTCTGATGACAACTGTCTATATGCCCTTACATGATTGCAGAATATTGGCTGAATTATCTTAGCGCTAGGAAAACGGTCGAGGCAGCCAAACTGAAAGATGATATCTCCTTGAAATCTTTGTTGGTTTGTGCCTTGTTGGGAGACGGAGACTAGCCGGTTGGGGTTCACGTTGCAACAGAAACCAGTGGTTGGGAAATTCAGGTGATATGGTTCAGAATCGATGTCAGTGGCGCAGATGTAGCCACACTTTATCTTCATCTTAACTACTGTGCTGAGTTTAGCATTTTCTCATTTCTCTTTTTTACTGCATTCTACTACTTTTGACCGATTTTTGTTTCTCTCTTCATCTTTCATCTTACTGCTTTTCTACTTGTGCTGATATGAAGTGTGGCAACTTGGTGAGTTATGCAGTGATGCCAGATCCTATCTTCGTGTTGATTGACCAACTCAGTTTCTGCGTCTGTATTTAAGAACAAGCATAGATTACAGAAAGCTTGAAAGTATATTAGTAGTTATTTTGCAGTTGAGGACTCAATTCTTCACACTTAATTGTTCCTTGAACTAAAATTTCTCACATCAGACTGGATATTAGGTTCGGGAACTATCGAATGATTAATTAAACAGCTCAAGTTTGCTTAGATGCTCATAACTTACAATTATGTTTGGATATGGCATGTGTGATTTCATTATTGAGGATTCTTAAACTGGGTAGCGAGTCATTCGCAACTTAAAACACCACCTCAGAGCAGTTCTCTGTATTTGATTACTGGATAGGGATATATATTTTGTACGAGTTTTGGTTTTATTATTCATCTTTTAAAGCCTCAAGTCAGTTAAAGCTTGCATCGATTGTGTCATGTTAACTGTTCTCATAGTTAGTATCCCACAAAATAATGAAATACGTTGTTGAAAATGAATTCTTTCAGTGTTCTCTGAGCGTCAGCATTCGATCCTGGATGTTTCGTTGTTATAATACACTCTCATCAGTTCTTTTTTTCACCTGACATATGCCCTTTGGTAAGATGCATCCTTGGGTTATTTAATTCCCCAAAAGTCTTCTGGTTCTAATTTCCCTTAGCTGATGATTTATCCAATACGCTTATTCTTCTTTAGTCTGTCGCCTAAATCAAGTTGGGATCGTAGTATCTTCCCATTTCGTCGGTAATAACAATCCTATTAACTTTTTCAATTAACGATAAACTGCATTAACTGCAACTGCTTTTTCCAACTTAAAATGTCATTTTTCCGTTGCTCTTAGATTCGTTCAGTTCAGCAAATCAAGTATGTTGAAGATTCTGATCTTGCAGAACTGGGATTCAGTCGGCCAGAACAACGACGTTTACGTAAACATTTCAAACGTGAATGCCCACAAACTGCAATGGGAAAGCTACGAAAGGTTATACAATTCTTATATATATGCCATATATTTTTATTTATCATTATACCCATCTAACATATATGTGTTACTTTCAATGGGACTCTGTGAAGTAATATTTGAAATAGGGCATAAATTTATTCCATTTACAGGTACAGATTTTATAATTGATTCTTCTTTTGCTATCTCATCCTTAAACGTTAATTTCACCTTCGTTTTCAGCGGTTGGCTCGTTCAACTAGCGGTCGATGTTCATCACTACGATTTAAAGACACATTAGATGGCTTATCTTCGCGTAACTTGAATGTTTTATCCATTTCGCTTGACAGCACACCAACATCTGAAGATGGTGATTCGAAACGACGTACTCTACTATTTACGCAAGGTTCTAAGTCGGATGACCTCAGTAAATGTTTGGAAGATGATTTAGGCAATTTAACTGTCGATGGGAATAAAAATTACCGAGTTATTCGATCAAGTGAACTTGAAATAGGCAGTAGTCTTGGAGAAGGAGAGTTTGGAAAAGTTTTTCAGGTAATATAGACATGCATCTAATGTATATTTTTCCATAAATTTCTTAATTAGGTTACTATTATGATATGAGAAACCTCTTTTGGCTTACTTTTTATGCTTTTTAACACTCATTAGCAAAGTGCATCTGCCACCTCCGTAAGAATTTTTCTGCTTTGGAGATTCAAACCCACTAACACAGGTCCAAAACTTATCGCTGTCTAGGTAGCCTACATGTGATGTTTCCGACTATGATACTAAGTTTATACTCTTAAGTTTTGAATGAACTCAAGCTCCCTCAAGGTTTCGGATGCTATACACTTCAACAGCCTACAGGCCTTAGATTGTAGGTTAAGAGCTATGTACCAGTAGTCTCAAATCAAATAGAATAGAATATTACAGAATTATTGCATTGTTGCATGTTGACCCAAAATAGTTACCTCGGTCAATAGGTTACTAAAAATTGGTAGTTTAAATACTCAGGCTATTTTGGTTGTCTTTTTTTAAAAGTACCACTTAAAATAATTATTTGTATTCAGGAGCAGTTAAAAAGCAGATTTTTATGGGAACTAAAAAAGAAATTGTTGACTGACCATGTAAGCAGATCTGTCAGGTCTTAAAAAGATAAAGAATTTTGTTTCAGAATAGTCAATAATTTTTTTTTAGAAGACTGACTGAGCGAAGAAATATATTCCCTTTCAATTAAGTCTTCATCTTTGGCTCTATACTAATATATAGGTTTACAATTTAATCAAATCACCAATTTTTATTTTCACCATGTCCATTTACCAAATGATTTCAGTCAATCCTTCCTTTGAAAAGATCAGCTTGAAAGGTACTGCTGTCTACGTTACAAAATGTCCAAATTAGATAATATAATGAATAAACTATTCGCCCAAAGTGTAGGGAAAATATAAGGAGGTCAAGATACCTACTATCAACTGATTATTTACTCTGACAATACAGTCTAATCCATGTAGCAGACTGACAACTTCCCCCCCCACTCTGATTCCATTTTCTTGCATTCTTCTCCTTATTATTAAACGTGTGTCTGGTAAACGTCATCTGTGAATTCTAATTAAACCTCAAACTGATTGAAACACGTCTATCTGCTTATATTCCTCCTTTTACTTGACTCTAAGCGACAAGTTTAATAATTTTTTTTGACTAGAAGTTCTCCAACCAACCCAAAACTGTTATCGGTATAATACCTGCTGATGTTACCACACAAGTAGGATGATAGAAAGACAAAACAAAATCAACATAGAACTTCTCACTGAAATACACCAGCTCAATTTGCCACACTTCATAGCAGAATACAAGCAACGAGTGGATAGACATAGAGTGGTATCAAAGTTGATAAAAGTGTATAGAAGAAGAAAGGATTTGAAAATTATGGTTAGTGAAAACGTTCAAAGTTTAGAAGATGTCGGAGAGTTAATACATCTGACATGACACCAAGAGTCTGCAGCTGTTGATTTATATTATTATCTGACCGAGTAGAGCGATGCAGTCTAAGCCTCCCTACGAGGTTTAAACCAGTAATTATAGACTTCATGGATTGATATCACTTCTTCATGTGATCGCCCTAAACCTACTTCCAACAGAAACAGTGGATTATTGCTCAGTGTACTTGTCCTCCAACAGGTAGTAGGATATTTCACTGTCATCAGAAATGATACATGTTGACAAAGGTGAATGGGTATTTTGTATTCGAACTGATATTTCATTTTCGATTCCTAGTTGTTTGCACTATAACGGTAACTGCTTTCAGTCTCACCACTATCTGATTTATTAAGACCTTGAGGAATGAAATTTACAGTTAGCATAGCTCGTTGGGTCATTCTGATTTGCCGACCTAGTCTATCTTTAATCTAGCAATCTGTGCAGATCGGTTTTGAAGCATCATCTTGCATTTGACAAGCTTTAAACGCACGCCAAACATACTCATATTTCTGCTGAAGGTGTTGGAAAGACCACATTCTTTAAGACTCTGCACCTGATAAGACTATGTTACCTGCATTCTGCAAGTTAGTCCGTGAAAAGTCGAAGGTTCCTAGTGGTGCATTTGTATTATCACGCCTATACCAGTTATACAGGAGTGGTGAAAGTTTGCACACTTGAGTAACACTACTGATTTTCATTACTTCACACGGCTACTTTCCATAAGATCTTGCAGGGTTACGTTATCTCTAGTAGAAGAGACCCCATGGTACATCTGTTAGATAGATAGGGCGTAGGTCGAACTCGGAACCCATTGACTAAAGTTAGGATGCTGCTCAGCAGTAGAAATCAATGCACAATGTAGTGGCTCAAGTATTTATCCAAATAAGTTGCCTGTTAGCAAATTGAAATTCTACTTCACCTAATTCAATATTTGAACAGCTGGTTGATTATCATTATTCCAGATGATATACAGCTGTAGTACGCACGTGATTACGAAATTTCCAGGATTTTTCTAAACATTTTTAACCAGGACTATTCAAGTTTGTGTAGTTAGTTAGACACAAGTGCCTGGGAGTGTCCCCTCTTTCTTCACTGTCAGCGTGCAACAGATTTGAACTTTGTTCACCTGTGTGTGTTTGTGTTCGCACGCATTTGTGTTCAGTTAGTGAGGAGTACTTTTGTATTCTTCACTGTCTGACGTAGTAATAATAATAATAATAGGCCATCCCTTGTCAAATGTAAGGGAAAGACTTTTACTTTCAAATCAAAAGTTTATCGACGTTTTTCTTTTTCGGGAGAAAATTGCTGTCTGGAAAGTTTTCAATGTTTGATGTTATTTCTCCTAATCAATAATCTCTGTACATATTTTGATTTTCTTTTTGTTCGTTTGCTGCTTTTTAGATTATTGATTTAGTGAATGAGTAATTGTTTTGTTTTTTTCATTTTTCAAAATATAATGAATAATATTCATTTTCATTCACTACTCTAGGCAGACTAATTTTTATTCTGCTGGCTTGATTTGCAAGCATACAAGGAGGGTTTTATTGGGATTGCTTTTTTTGGTGATGTAGTCATTAGCTTAGTCACTATTAACCAATAGGTTGCTTGTCCAAACCCTATTCCACCTATCAACACTTGGGCAACCGAGTTCACTCACAAAACACGTTTTTTGCCGATAGTTTACAATAGTCACCTGTTTATGGGTTACTGGGTTGTGCGTTTTTTATTCGATTCTCTTTTTCAAAGGAATGTTTGAATACCTTTTAAGTGGGTTTGCTCAGTAAACGATATTGATACTAGCTAGTCATAGAGTACTGTGTAAAATAAAGTTAGTCAGTTAACGAGGCTTTCAGTATTCATAAACCATTGGGATGATTTAGTTGTACTAGCCAACACCATTTATGTTTGCTATGGGGAACAGGAAAAAAGTAGGGTTTCAAGGCCCTTTTGACTGTTAGACCTGAGCTGTCGCTAATTCATTAGTTTAAGGAGATGACTTTTAACCAGTGAGCCTAGGGTTCGAGTCCCGCTTAACCCACCGAGGTGCTACATGCAGCCAGGTAGTACTCTCATTAGACCTCACACAATTGGCGTGCCTTAATGCCAACTCCACAAATGTGTACTAGGTTGCAGAGTGCATCTCGATTCGACTTTTTCGACATCGCGAACCGAGGTCAACCTCTGATTTTTATTGTTCGTCCCTCGGTTTCCTAGTGGAACATAGGGCCTCAGCAGCAACTCACCATTCCACTCTGTTCTCTCCAGTATTCCCAACCTCTCTCCAACTCTGCCCACAAGCTTTCATTCCTTCATCACATGATCTACTCCATGTCACCCTCACCTCGGACGCCCAACTCATCGTTTCTCATTTAGCTTCCACTCGAGGGCCTAGCCTGGCGTGTAATGTCCCCAAATGGTCTCCTCAGTGTATGTCCAATCCAATCCAATCCACCTCCACTTTCTTCTGCATATTTGTTGGGTGATGAGTTGTTGGTTGGTTCGTTGCCAGCCAGCCAGCCAAACTTCCTTGTTGCCTATTCCTGTAATTCTGGCTATCCGATCGATATTCAGTATTGAGTGAGTGAGCATAGGCGGCATCATCATCATCATCATCATCATTATCAACATAGGACCAGGCATTACTGCGTAACGGTCCGAGTTGCCACACCTCATATCAGCACATCAAGTAAAAAGGTAGTGAGGTGAAGGATGAAGATAAGTGAATGCAGTCAAAAGAAATATAAAGTACGAGAAGAAAGGAAAGAGGAGTGACAAAATAGTGAGATTCGGTATAGCGTTGTTAAGATGAGGATAATGTGTGTATACATCTGCGCCACTGACTTCGGTTCTGAGCCATATCACCTAGGGTCTCCAACCACTGGTTCCTCTTGTCCCGTGGACCCCAACCACCTAGTCTGCATCGTCCTACATGGCTTAAACCAACAGTCAGAGACTTCATACATTGGTGCCATGTTTTAGTCTGGCCACCTCGGGCCTTTTTCCAGCCTGAACCCACCTCAGCCAACATTGTGTGACGAGGCAATCGGTGACTAGGCATACGTAGTACGTGTCCCAACCATCTCAGTCGATGAAGGTTCACAACCTCGTCGACTGACTTACCTCTTCTCCCTAAAACTCTACACCTAACTTCTGCATTACTCACATGGTGACACCACGGAATACGTCCTATACTACGAAGGCAACGGTGGTCAAATACCTGAACCCTTTTTGTCTCTCCACTTTCAATGGCCATGTTTCACAGCCATACAGTAGAACAGAGCGGACTGCTGTGCAGTACACGCGACCCTTAATAGACAAACGAATATCACGGCGGCGCCATAGGTGGCGCAAATTGGCAAAAGCCAATCGAGCCTTTTGTATCCGTGCAGAAATCTCATCGGCAACTAACCCACCGGGTTGATCCTACTTCCCAGGTAAGTGAAGTGGTCAACACACTCAACCACTTCACTCTCTATTGTTAACCGCGGTACCGCTGAAGACCAGTCCTGGAGCAAAAATTTGCATTTGGGTGGTGAAAATCGCATCCCAAACATTCTCAAATTCCCACTCAAAGTGTT